CAACAATGAGTAAGAGGGACACAGTCCATCTCTGCCCTCAAAGAGCTTATGTTCCTGGGGAGAAAACAAATGATAAGCAGCTAAGTGAATGATGAAGACAATGTTAGATTTTCAGCTCCTTGGAGGAAAAACAGTAGAGCAATGTGATTGAGAGTAATTGGGCAGGGGGGGGGGAATGTGTATTTTTTTCAAGTCTCAGGAAAGGTCTCTCTGAGGAGGGAAACTGAATGACGCACTAAATGTAAGAAGGAAGCATCCATTATGAAGATCTAAGAAAGGAACAGCATTCCAAACAGAAGGAGCAGTAAATGACTGTGTTTTTACAAGCCTGTACAGTTTGGAGTAGTTGTTACTACCACAAAACTTAAGCCTACCCTGATTACACAGTAGTACTTTCTACTGCTTTCCAGACTGTTCAGCAGGGTATATTTTTCCAAATATGTTAGTTGGAGGATACATCAGGGAAGTATGATACCTCGAAAGTGGATCGTTCTCACTTATTTGAGACAACACGGATTGAAAAGAAAATATTTCATAAGTATTTAAATAATTCTAGTGGTTGTAAGGAATTATTTCACAATGGGATAATTACATTGGCTAAATTCAGTATGTCAGCACTCAGGTGAAGAAAGTGTGCTTCTCTCTTCTTGGGAGAGAAAGGAGGTGAGATGATGACCATATGGTACACTGGAGCGAAGGACGAGGTAATAGCAGCACTGGGAAAAAGAGAGTCGTGTCCGCCTTCAGAGAACATGATACTAAATGTTAGGAGATTAATAATAAAAATAACCAGGAAAACCAAACGGCAGCCTGACAGACATGGGCTTTCCTGCTCTGACTTTTCTCTTTATTGCCAATAAACAAAATGTATAAACATACAGGTTTGAGTTTTCTGGTGACAAATGGAATTTTATAAATATCTCTCTCAGCCTCTGTTCTTATTAAAATTGAAGGTGAAACTTTTTGTGGGGAAGGAGAGAGGGATAATTAATCTTTTAAAAGTAGAATAAGATAGGGCTGGCCCAGTGGCGCACTGGAGAGTGCGCCGCTCCCGCTGAGGGTTCGGATCCCATGTGGAGACCGGTTCCCGCTCACTGGCTGAGCGCGGTGCAGGCGCANAAAAAAAAAAAAGCTATGCATATTACATTCTATATGCAAAAATAATTCATAGACTCTGGAAACAATTTATGGAATAATGGCAATCGCTAACATTTATTGAATATTTACTGTGTGATGAGCATTATTTCACTTCATTACCACAACAATCATTAAGGAGAAATCTCTAATTATCCCCAATTTACAGATGAGGAAACTTAGACACAGAAATGTTATGTAAGCTGCACAAAGTAAAATAGCTAGTAAGAGACAAAACTAGAGACGAGAATCCAGACGAGAATCCACCATCTTACAGTGTCTTTTCTATGGAATTCTAACAAATGCAAAAAAACTACAACTCAAGATGATGTGGAGGAATGCAGTAAGTATATCACCATCCCCACATGCCTCTAAAGGATATGGACTCTTGAACTGAAATACCTGAATTCAAACCTACCTTGACTTATGTTACACTTGAGTAAACCCAAGTAAATCCACTTACTTCCAAAGAATTGGCTTGTTCATCTCTAAAATGGCTCCATAGAGTCCTTGTGGAGACCAAAAAAGTTAATGTGAAACTGCTTTGAAATTGTATAACATTACTCGAATGTTAATTATCTTTAGTTTTACTGTTAGTGTAATTAATATCAAAATGAGGCAACATGCATATAAGCTACAAAGACATGGCTGTTAGAAAAAGTTATCTACATTTTACAGAAGTTCTGTTTTCATATTTCAAAAAATCTATATGTATACTTAATTGTGTTGACATGAGATGCATATTTTAAAAAATTCAATCTGACATTTAAGCTGCAGAAGACAGTAAATCAAGTTGTGAATTTGTTCCTCCTTGGTTTCCTCCCCATCAGATTTCAGTTCTTATTTGTATTCTGATTTGTCTCACTGATTCTGAAATTCTGTTTGTCTCCATGTACACCCATTTAATAGTTTTATCCAGCTTGACTAGCTCCCCAGGGAGTCTG